CCTTTGATGAACCTGTATCCAGATAGTTTAATAATTACACAAAAGATATTCTTTTCTTTTGGAACTCTGGAAATAAGATTATAGTAAAGATTTTCAGATCTTTTTAAATGTAAATCTTAAACAAACTAAAGGACCAAGTAAATGTCATAACTATATACTAAATGTCATAACTATATACTAAAGGTCCACTGAGGCAAAATATTTGGAATGTGTCCACTTAATCTGAGTAAAGCATGACAGAAAGGTAAAGATAAACAATGCTCACAAAGAGTGTAGGTCTGTGGAGGAAAATTCTGACTCATTAAAAAAAAAAATTCAGTTAGCCTAAACAACATGGAAGGAGAAATGGTAATGCTGTTTCTAAAGCAACTGGATTTTAAAGGGATCACATTGATTTATTTCACAATTGTTAAAAGGCAGTAGCTTTGAATTTTTTTCACCTTAACTAGGATTCAGTATATATTTATCTACATATACCTATATATACATGTATATCTGGAACAAGATGAGCCTTACCTCATGCACCCTATTCTAAAAGTGCTTTTTTTTTTTTTTTTTGAGTTGGGGTCTCACTCTGTCACCCAGACTGGAGTGCAGTGGCCGCTCCCAGCCACCGCAGCCTCAACCTGCTGGGCTCCGGTGATCCACTCACCTCAGCCTCCCAAAGCACTGGATTACAGGCTGAGCCACCAAGCCCGGCTAAAAGTGCTTTTTTAAAAAAAAAAATGCTGGTCATAATTCATGCACTGATTTCATTGACCACTAAGACATCATAATCTGCAATTTTTTAAAAAATTTTAATTTAATTTATTGAATAGGAGTCTCACTCTGTCACCCAGGCTGGAGGGCAGTGGCACTTCTGGCCACCGCAACCTCAACCTGCTGGGCTCAGGCGATCTTTCGCCTCAGTCTTCCAAGTAGCTGGAACTACAGGCATGCGCCACTATGCCTGGCTAATTTTTTGATTTATTGTACAGATGAGGTCTCACCAAGTTGCCCAGGCTGATCTCGAACCCGTGGGCTCAGGCAATTCTCTCACCTAGGCCTCCCAAAGTGCTGGGATTACAGGCTTGAACTACTGTGCCAGGGCCATAACCTGCAATTTAAAAACTATGATTGATAGAGAATTTTCTGAATTATTTCTCTCAGAGACATAAAACATAAGCATTGTCATTTAATTGTTTCTCAACCACTCACTTCTTTAGTTTCACTTAGACCTTGTTATCAAAAATTTCATCAGCTCCAAAATCTTGTACACAGGCATCCTGCTCTCAGACTGCATTCTGCCCTGGATTTTGTACCCAAGTAACTCCCACCTACAATTCTTTAATTATATTTGGACCACACTGATTTACAACTCAAGTCTGTTCTTTCTGTCTTAGCCAACTTAGTGTCCATCGTCCAACATTATAATCACATCCTTAAATATATACTCAATATCCTGGCTGAGAGTTGTGGCTCACATCTATAATCCCAGTGCTCTGGAGGCCAAGGCGGGAGGTTTCATCATGTGGGCATGATCAATTAATTATTAAGTCTACTTCCAGCCTATCTCCCTTCTCTGGAGAATAGGAGTGGGCCAAATGTTCCAAGCCTCTAATAATAGCTTGATATTTCTGGTGACCAGTTCCCATCCTGAAGATATCCAGGAGCCCACCAAGCATTGCCTCATAGAACAAAAGGCACTCCTATTACCAAGGAAACGCCAAGGGATTATTAGAACAACAAATATTAGAACAACAGATGCTCCCAGCACCCCTATCACTTAGAAAGTCACAAGGGTTTTAGGAACTCTGTGTCAGAAACCAGGGGAAGAGGCCAAATATTCAGATCCTTTGGATTATCTTATCACTGAGGTATATGTGTCCTTTATATATTCTGGATACCAGTCCCTTACTAGATACATGATTTTCAAATATCCTCTATTATTCTATGGGTTTCCCTTTCACTTTGTTGACCTGTGGTACAAAAGTTTTGAATTTTGAGGTACTTCAAGTTAACTTTTCCTTTTTCCTTATGCTTTTGGTGTCATATCTAAGAAAACCATTGCCTAAGCCAAGCTCATGAGGATTTACTCCCATGTTTTCTTTTAATAATGTTATAGTTTAGCCGGGCTCGGTGGCTCAGCCTGTAATTCCGCGCCTTTGGGAGGCTGAGGTGAGTGGATTGCCTGAGCCCGCGGGTTTGAGACCTGCCTGGGCAACTTGGCGAGACCTCATCTCTACAATAAAATCAAAAATGAGCTGGGCGTGGTAGCACGTGCCTGTAGTTCCAGCTACTTGGAAGGCTGAGGCGGAAGGATCGCCGGAGCCCAGTAGGTTGAGGTTGCGGTGGCCGGGAGTGGCCACTGCACTCCAGTCTGGGTGACAGAGTGAGACTCCAACTCAAAAAAAAAAAAAAGTTATAGTTTCAGCTCTTACATTTAGGTCTCTGGTGCATTTTGAGTTAATTTTTGTGTATATGCATTTTGTAAGGAAGGGGTCCCACTTGATTATTTTGCATGTGGCTATCCAGTTGTTCCAGCACCATTTTTGAAAAGATGGTTCTTTCCCCCATTAAATTGTCTTGGCACCCGGTTGGTGATGGTTTACATGCTATTATATTAATCTCTTTTTCACTTATCTTATTTGACCTCTCAGCTGTATTGATACAGTTTACCATTCCCTTCTTCAAATACTCTACTCTCTTGGTTCTTTTTGTACTTATCTTGCTATTTCTCTTCAGTCTTTATAGGTCCTTTATCATCTACTAACCTTCTAAATGTTGGGTTTTCAGTTACTGTGGCTGTGTAACAAATTATCTTAAAACAATTATTTATAGGAGTCAGAAATTCAGACTGGGTGAAGCAAGTTCAGCTTATCTCTGCTCCATAATATCTGGGGTCTCAGCTGAAGAGGACCTGTTTGGGTTGAATCTATTTGAGGACTTTTTAGTTTCCTGGATCTGGGTGTCTATCTCTGTCTCTCAAGGCTTGGTAAATTTTCAGTTATTATTTTATTAAATATTTTTTCTACAACTTTCCCCTCTTCTTCCTCTGGAATGCCCTTTATATGAATATTTGTTCACTTAATGGTGTCACCTAAATCCTACAAGTTTTCTTCATATGGTGGAAGGCGAAGGGAAGGGCAGCTGTCATGTAGTGGTCACATGGCGGGAAGTGAGAGGAGAGGAAGTGCCAGGCTCTTTCTTTTTTTTTTTAATTTAACAGAGACGAGGTCTTGTTATGTTGCCCAGGCTAGTCTTAAACTCCTGGGCCTAAGCAATCATTCCGCCTTGGCTTCCCAAAGTGCTGGGATTATAGGTGTGAGCCACTGCATCCAGCCCATACCAGGCTCTTTTTTTTTTTTGAGTTGGAGTCTCACTCTGTCACCCAGACTGGAGTGCAGTGGCCGCTCCCGGCCACCGCAGCCTCGACCTGCTGGGCTCCGGCGATCCTTCCACCTCGGCCTTCTGAGTGGCCGGAATTACAGGCATGTGCTACCACGCCCGGCTGATTTTTTGATTTATTGTAGAGATGAGGTCTCGCTGCCTAAGTGGGTCTTGAACCCGCGGGCTCAGGCAATCCACTCACCTCAGCCTCCCAAAGGTGCGGGATTGCAGGCTGAGCCACCAAGCCCGGTTTACCAGGCTCTTTTTAACAACCAGATCTTGCAGGAACTAACAGAGCAAGAACTCACTCATTACTGCAAGGATGGCACCAAACCATTCATAAGGTATACACCCAATATGACCCAAACGCCTCCCACCAGGTGCTCCACTTCCAACATTAGGGATCAAATTTCAACATGTGATTTGGAGGGCACAAATATCTAAACTACATCAGTGATCTTTTCTATTCTCATAGCTTTAAATACCATCCATACATCCATGACTTCCAAGTTTCCTAACATCTCAAAGTGCCACCTAGAATAGCCAATTAATTATGACACATTTACCAGGATATCTCACAGAAATTTCCAACTTAACATGTTGGAAATTCCTCCATAAACCTGTTCTTTTCCTGGTTCCCCCATTTTGGTAGATGATTCAACCATTCACCTAGTTGCTCAGACCAAAACCCAGGACTCAGACTTAAATTACTTTCTCTCTGTCTTACATCTGCAGCCAATCATGAATAAGTTCTATATTATCTTCTCACTGAGTTATAACAATTACCTTCTTGCCCACCCTCCTTCATTCTTGTTCCTTTCTAATTTCCTTTGACACAGCAGTCAAAACAATATATTTTTTTCTTTTTTTGTAATATAGCAGTGTCTTGCTATATTACCTAGGCTGGCCTTGAACTCCTGGCATTAAGTGATCATCCCACCTTGGCCTCCCAAAATGTTGGGATTACAGGCATGAGCCACCATACCCCCTACCTCAAAACAGTGTTTTAATTTATGTGTCTCACATGGCATGCTTTTGCTCACAATATTGATTACAATTTGATAGACTCCAAATCCTTACCGTGGCTTAAAAGGCCCATGTAAGTGGCCTTTGCCTGTTACCCTGCCACTTGTCCCTCATCCACTGTGCTTCAGCTCCTCTGGGTTTCTTTTTGTTCCTTAACATACCAAGCTCTCAAAAAGGAGCTGTGCACATACTGTTCCCTCTGCCTGGAATATTCTCTCCCAACTTCCCATGCCTACAATAACATTCTTTTTCATCCTTCAAGGTATGGCATTCCTGACTTTGCTAAGAAGGCACCCCCTTTTTTCTTCTCTACCACTGTATCCTGTTTCTTTCCTTTATGAGACTTAACCCACTTTAAGTTTATATCCCATTCGCTTCTTATTTATCATCTGTTTCTAGCCCCACTCATCAGGGGCCATGTCACATACACCATGCCCAGAGTGCCTACCATATAATATGCACTCAAAAAATATTTGTTGAATATTGTTCAAAGATATAATTTTGTCTGAGGCGGTATGTTATAATTAATATGTAGTTATTAACAATATTAAATGTATTACTTCCTTATTCTTTTGCTGAAAATAACCTTTTTTTTTTTCTTTCAGTAATTGCCCTTCCTTTTTGGCTGCTGCTTTAGCCAGGGCCACATCAGATGAAGTCCTCCAGAGTGACCTCTCTGCACATTATATCCCAAAGGAAACGGATGGCACAGAAGGGACTGTGGGTGAGTACCTTTCTATATTGTTTGTTTAAAAATACTGAAATCTTCTCGTGCATAGTGGTCTAGAAAATATCTGCAGAATACTAAATCTAACTACCTTCACCTACTGGTTGTTTATATGGTGGCAAAGGAGAAAGAAATGCAAAAAAATTTTTTCAAACAAATCAATAAAATGAGGGAAGACGAAGCCAGGCTGGGTGGCTCAGCCTGTAATCCCAGTGCTTTGGGAGGCTGAGGTGAGTGGATTGCCTGAGCCCGCGGGTTCGAGACCCGCCTGGGCAGCGAGACCTCATCTCTACAATAAATCAAAAAATCAGCTGGGCGTGGTAGTGCATGCCTGTAATTCCGGCTACTTGGAAGGCTGAGGCGGAAGGATCGCCGGAGCCCAGCAGGTCGAGGCTGCGGTGGCCGGGAGCGACCACTGCACTCCGGTCTGGGCGACTGAGTGAGACTCCAACTCAAAAAAAAGTTGGGGGGGGGGCAGGGGGAAGACGAGAAGAAATACAAGTATATTTTTAAGAAGGTAGAGTAGTACACGGAAAGTAATTGGAGCAACAGGAGATTGCTCAAGTAATATCTGGATAAGTGGAAAGACTAAAGGACTGTGGAGACTACAAAAATGATGAGCAGGTGAGGGGACGAGCGTGTGAGCAAAACCTGTTTAACATTGTTAGCTTACCTCTAAGAATCCAGGTAGAAAGAGATAAAAATTCAAGAAGTTGGCTGTAACAAAGCTTCTCACTAATTATATTAAATTTTATATCTACCAGTAAATACAGATATGTAATATGTGACTTATTTGAATAAGATCATTGTACTTTTTTTTCTAGAAAAATTATTAGGCTCTATTTCTTTTCTTTTCTTTCTTTTTTTTTTTTATTTTTTGAGTTGGAGTCTCACTCTGTCGCCCAGACTGGAGTGCAGTGGCCGCTCCTGGCCACCGGAGCCTCCACCTGCTGGGCTCCGGCGATCCTTCTGCCTCAGCCTTCCAAGGAACTGAAACTACAGCCGCGTGCTGCCACACCCGGCTCATTTTTTATTTTTATTGTAGAGATGAGGTCTCACCAAGTTGCCCAAGCAGGTCTCGAACCCACGGGCTCAGGCAGTCCACTCACCTCAGTCTCCCAAATCCCAGGATTACAGGTTGAGCCACTGAGCCCGGCTAGGCTCTATTTCTTAATGAAGGCATATTTATTAATGTCTTAGGCTTATGCATATTTGTAAGAACCTAAAGAAAAGATTTTTATAAAAATTAGGGAATACCTACTCAAAATTAAGAAATTTTAATATATCATGCTGTTTGTTCTATTTAAAGCATTTACCTTTAAACATGATAAAGAGCAAAGCATATATTAATGAGTCAGAGTGGCCAGATTCCAGAGAATGTGAGACAGATATAAAAGTAAACATGTCTGTTCTTCCTTTATCTCTCCAGATCGTTTTTGACAGAAAATTGGCAAGAAAGGAATTACTGCTCTTGCTTTTACCGAGTAATTGATTCACCTAGAACCAAATTGTGCCAAGAGTCAAGTTGGATAGAATTCCTGTTACAAAGCATTGGTCTTTCCTCTGGTACTGATGCATAAAGTAAAAGCCCTGTAATGAAATGGCAGTGAGATTAAATTCTGCTTTACTCCAGCCAGACTAATGGCTGATTCAGCTCTGGCTCAGTACAGTGACATTAACGACTGATGAATTTACAGCTGTGAGGGGGTGGACAGCTACTTTGGACAGTTTTCCCTTTTTTGCTTCCCCTTTTTATTTTATTTTTCCATTTCAAGTAGCAATTATTTATTTATTTATTTATTTTTGAGCAGCAATTATTTATATACTGGTGTTCTACATTGCTTCCTGCAGAAGGAGAATACTAATGTAGTAAGATGGAAGTATAGCCGTACATGCCTACTTTGGAAAAATTTCCTGAACCCCATAAAGTAGCAAAAGTGGAATGAAGGGTTTTTCTTTGGGGGGTTATAACCCAGTAATGTCTCCATGCTATTGCTGTGGTTCTGACTGATCTACTGTCATTCTAAACTATTTGCACATCCATAATTTATTTAGCGCAGATCACGCAGTGGGGGCTGCACTAAGGAGAATCTCTACAGGGCATACTGTAACTATCTGTACATCAGAGTGAGAAGTAGACATGCTAAATGAGGCCTGCTGTCAATGCTTCAAGTCCCCATTGAAGTGCCTCTTGTCGCTCTTCTTGGTTGTTTCCAAAAACAGATTTTTTAAAAAATCCTTAAAGTTCTTTTCATGTTTACGTCACCCCTAACAGAATGTTTGCTAAGTGACCTTGCCTATCTGACTCAGTGCAGATTTAGTTAGTTGGCTGTAACTCTTGTCCAGACAACCTAAAGCCAATTTGAAAGGTCACAGTGCAAAAAATTAAAAGAAGGGAAAATTATCATTAATACAGAGGAAATTTAAACGGTTATAAAAAGTTGGTGTAAATAAATTTGAAAACCTGAATATTTCCTAGGAAAATGTAAATTAACAAAATTTACCTAAGGAGGAGGAGATTGAAAAAAATTGTCAGCCGGGCTCGGTGGCTCAGCCTGCAATCCCGTGCTTTGGGAGGCTGAGATGAGTGGATTGCCTGAGCCCGCGGGTTTGAGACCTGCCTGGGCAACTTGGTGAGAACTCACCTCTACAAAAAATCAAAAACTAGCCAGGCGTGGTAGCGCGTGCCTGTAGTTCCAGCTACTCGGAAGGCTGAGGCGGAAGGATTGCCGGAGCCCAGCAGGTCGAGGCTGTGGTGGCCAGGAACGGCCACTGCACTCCAGTCTGGGCCACGGAGTGAGACTCCAACTCAAAAAATAAAAAGAAAAAAATTGTCAAGGAGCTATTTTTCCAAAAGGTCATAGAGTAGGTGATTCTACAGGTGAACATTTTCAAATGGATTAAAGACAGAGAATTCCAATGTTTATTAAAATGAATGCTCCAGTTGCACAGAGAAAGAAGGAAAATTTACATACCATAGCCTGCCTAAGACAAAACTTTAAAAGGGAACGATAAACGGGTCTTAGTAATCAGTGCTAAAAATCTTAAGTAAAATACTTGTATATTGAAGGTAATTCATTCAATGAATACTTTATTGAGGGCATACTATATATTTAGTATTGTTCAGGGGAAATGGCAATGAATAAAACAAAAATATTGTTAAGTCTATTAGCACAATTTATATATTAATAGCTCTAAAGAAAAACACAATAATCTGTAAGGGTACCAGCAGAAGCATTTGAAACAATTCGATCACCATTCCTAATTTTAAAAATATCCTAGCCGGGCTCGGTGGCTCAGCCTGTAATCCCGTGCCTTTGGGAAGCTGAGGTGAGTGGATTGCCTGAGCCTGCGGGTTTGAGACCCGCCTGGGCAGGTGAAACCTCATCTTTACAATAAATCAAAAAATCAGCCGGGCGTGGTAGCGCATGCCTGTAATTCCGGCTACTCGGAAGGCTGAGGCGGAAGGATCCCCGGAGCCCAGCAGGTCTAGGCTGCGGTGGCCGGGAGCGGCCACTGCACTCCAGTCTGGGTGACAGAGTGAGACTCCAACTCAAAAAAAAAAAAAAAAAAATCCTTAATAAAGTAGGACTAGATGGATATAGCTTGGACACGGTAGGCCAAAATTTGGCTCAAATGAAAATCTGGCATTTATGCTTTATACTCTGGGATTTTGCAGCTGTAAGTGACCACAATCATAACTCCAGTTGGCTTCCGTTATTGGCTTAAACAGAATTTACTGGCTACTCTCCAGGGTAAGGGCTACATAGCTAGATTCAGGGCTTCAAATGAGCTCAGCAGAACCCGGAATTTCTCCAATTCTCAGCTATACTTGCCTTCATTTTGATTTTATTTTCAGGTTCCATGTGGTGCCAAGATGACTACTAGGAGTGCTAGGTCTTCATCTGCCCAAGTTCAAGTTGAACAGGAAAACAAGAATAGATTTTTTCAGTGGTTCTTACATAAGTCACAGGATTACTCTAATTGGCCCAACGCCCATGGTTTTCCATTCCTGAATTAATCACTGTGGCCAGAGGAATGTGATTCTCTAATTGGCTAAACTTCAATCACATGTCTTACCCCTGGATGCACATGAACTGAGAGTGAAGAAAGAAGGAAATGTTACTGGAAGAAAGGGCAATGTTTGCTAGGTTTCAAATAACACACTAAAGCAAAGTTCTGATTCAAAATGGCAAATACATTGACAGGAATAAAATGATAAATATGAAAGACCTATATCAAAATGCAACATAAAAAGGATTTAAATTAATACAATTTATTTTGTTCCTCGATAAGCCTCAGTATGAAAAAGATGTCCGTTTTTTTTCCAAGTTTCTATAAATTCACTGTGATCCCAACCATAGTAGCATCAGGTTTTTCTGCCCAAACTTGTCAAAATTATTAGAAAGTTCACCTGAAAAAATAAACATCAAACTACCCTGCCCATCTTTTAAGGAAAAGCAGTCTTTCTGGTATTAAAACATATTTTAAAGTTATAGTAACTTAAAGAGAATGGTTGCTACCATTGTAGAAGTAGATGGAGAGATGAGTGAAGCAGAAGACAATCAAGAAACATATAAATATTTTGATGATTATTTAGTTTACGTAAGTTTGCATATTCATTTATTCAATATTTATCTAATGAGCCTCTGCTATCTGCTAGGTACTGTACTGTGACTAGTCAGGTGCAAGTTAAGATAGTCTCTTATCTGTCGTCTAGTTGGGGAGATGAAGAGCATGGACTTTAGAGCTGAGAGACCTGGGATTGAGAATGGGTTTATCTATTTGTGAAATGTTCTAGAGATATGTAATGTAGCAAGTACTCAATAAATTGTTACAAGATGTAGTTAAGAGCTATATAATAGATGGTGTGAACAAAGTGTAATGGGAGCAGGAGAGAAGGAGCAACTGGGAAGGGTATGAACAGATCTAATGGTTTACAAAAGACTAGAAGATCTGGCTTTGCTTCCTCTAACCAGTTTAATCTGTCTGTATCAGCTCTGTCCAGTAGACAGCACAATAATGAACACGTTCTTTACCTACATTGTCCAGTGTAGTAGCCACTAATTTTAATTTTTAAAAAAATTAGAGACAGGGTCTTGCTCTGTTGCTCAGACTAGAGTATAGTTGTTATTCACAGGCACAATCATAGCTCACTGCAGCCTCAAACTCCTGGGCTCCAGTGATCCTCCTGCCTCAGCCTTCTGAGTAGCTGGAACTACAGGCACAGGGACCACTGTGCCTGGATAATTTAAATTTAAATTTAAATAGTCACATATAGTTAGTAGCTCCCTTATTGGACAGTGTAGGTCTATCTAATAAGAATAATATACAAACCAAAGAATGATATGACTTATATTATTATCTGAGAATCAGGAGCTATCCTGATGGTTGATGTCAGTCATTTGTTTCACCCCATCCCACTCTACCTCAGTGTTTCTGAATTTACTCAATTGTTTTGTAATCCTGTTATGATTGAGTCAGTTGAGGACACATGCATCTCAGGGTCTGCATTTGGGGCCTATGCTGCTGCAGATACCAGATGGGTTGGAGTGATGCAAGAAGGTAATTGCTGGCTGGAAGAAATAGTCTCTGGCAGCTAGTGCTTAAGAAAAAAAACTGGAGTTGCTTAAACCAATCGAAATGTTGGGTTGTCTACTGGCCTCAGTCTCCTTCTTGTACATACTTCCTCAGGCTGTGCTTGTTCTTTGAACTTCTTTTCTCTTTCAAGTGTACCCTTGATTTTCAGTTATATAAAAATGTTAAAGGAGACAAAGCCACAAAACAGGATTTACCACCCTCTATGTTAATGAGGAGAAAAAGGAACAAAAAACTTGGTCAGCCTTTTGAATATAGTCCTTTTTAATAGAATTTTGAATAAGAAAACAGGTAAATGTAGTCACAGATTAAGGCAAAGGCAGGACTGGGAATAAAACTGGGAATCCAAATGCCCAGGCTGTTCTAGAACATATAGTCTCTCTTCTGTGGGATTTGTGTTCTAGATTGGAGGAGGCATTTGTAACCATTGCCCATCTGGCACACATTTTCTCAGGCTATATCTGATTTAGTAAAGTAAAAAAAAAAAAAATTAAGTTCTAAATTTTTTTTTACCTGAGATGTGGGAGGAACTCTAAAATACTGGCCTGAGGAAACCTAATCTCTCCTCCGTTATTTCAATGTCTGCAACTTAAGAGGAGGATTGGGTGCAAGACACAGTCTCTTCAATGCCATGCATGGCTGCTTAAAAGGCATCTATCCATCTACTGAAGGATGCATGTCTCCTCAGAAGTCAGCTTGTCTACTCAGCCCAAGGTGAAATAGTAGACGTAGGTCTTCTGATGGCTGTCTACTTTTTTCTATACAGGGTCACACATATAGACAGAATTTAAGTACTTTTTTTCCTTAGAAAAATCTAAAACTTTTAGCTGATGTGTTAACCTACTGGCTAAACTATTTAAACTACTGCCCACAACTTGAATAAACAAATCTTACCATCAGGTCAGGCATGGTGGCTCACATGCCTGTAATCCTAGCACTTTGGGAGACTGAGGCGGGTGGATTGCTTGAGCCCAGGAGTTTGAGGCCAGCCTGGGCAACATAATGAAACTTCTTCTCTACAATAAATCAAAAAAAATTAGCACACACCTGTAGTCCCAGGAGCCTGAGGCAGAAGGATTGCCTGCGCCCAGGAGGTTGAGCTATGGTGAGCCGTGATTGTGTCACTGCACTCCACCCTGAATGACAGAGTGAGAGTCCAACTCAAAACAAAAACAAAAACCAAGTACATCAAATAGCAAAAATATAATTCAGTGCCAATTAATCATTTACAAGAGAGAAAAGTTAGGGAACTGTATGTAAAGGAAGAGGTCAGGGAGAAAGAGAGGGACAAAGATGAAATGCAATGCGGATAAACTCTTCTTATTCCTGTATTTGTAAGCTGTTGTCACAAGCCTTTCATATTTCCAACTCGCTGGGTAACCACTGTTCCTATTTCAGTCATTCTTCTAAGCATAGGAGGCTTGGCTTTCCAGGTGATAACCATAGCAGCCAACCACAAGGGAACCGGTGTTCTGAACTAGAGAGCAGTGTGACCAGAGCCTTTTCTTGGCTGGAAGAAATCAGCCTAGTAACAGATCCAGCCCTGGCCTAGAGGTTTTCTCCTCATGACGTAAGGACATCTTAGTGGCAGCTGCTGGCTGATGATTTTCTACCAGATAGGCTGTCATTTTCTCTCTTCAGAAGCAGCATTTCATTTTTTCTTGAGAAGGATGAATTTCTTCTATTAAGGAAGAACTTGACTAAGGTGACCTACTTCTGTCTTTACCAAGCAGGCAAGTGAAAGCAGTTTTACAAGGCTCTTCATTGGGGGTTTCTGTGTTTCTTTCACAGAGATTGAGACAGTGAAATTGGCCCGTTCTGTCTTCAGCAAACTACACGAGATTTGCTGCAGCTGGGTGAAAGACTTCCCTCTCCGCAGGAGACCCCAGCTTTATTATGAGACATCAATCCATGCCATCAAAAACATGCGCAGGAAAATGGAGGACAAACATGTCTGCATTCCTGACTTTAATATGCTCTTCAACCTAGAGGTAAAGGGCACTTCTGGAGAGGCAGTGAGATTTAAAAAAACAAAACAAAACACCTTCATGGTCTTATTAGAAAGGGAGAGTTTATGATTTACTTCTAGTAGTATCTGATAGGTTAGAGTAGGTCTAAATGCAAAGTGGCACCAATCTGTGTGCATTAGACAACAGAAAAGGAACTATTTTATGTTGTTTTGCATAGGTAATGCATTCACATTGTTTAAAATTGGGAACATAAAAATGTCTCTTATTCTTGTCTCTCAGATACTCAGTTTCCCTCCATGAAGGCAAAGGAGTTTCTTGTGTAAACTTCCAGAGCTATTCTATAAACATATAAGCAAAAAAGACGATTATATCTCAACAGAACTGTTTTTTAAGAGAAACTATTTCTATACTCTAATCAAATGCTATTTATTAAGTTCTCACATTAGTCTGTTGCTGAAGCAACATAAACAGAAAAGAATGATTTAAGGCTAAGGCAGTTTTCTGATTTCATGTGATTTTCCTTTTAAAATCTTGGTCTCTGAGATAGGAAAATAAACTGGATTTGTATTTGTGAAATTTGCGAATCTCTGTGACTGACAAAGTGGATCCATATGAGCCTTGTCAGCTTAATAACTATGTTCTTGTTATCTTTCTCTTCTTTTTCTTTTAAATGTATTATGTTAATGCAAACAGAAGTAGGTTTGTTTCCGTTGCCTGTCACTTGCCTCTTTTCTTTGCTCAAGTCCATAACTTAAAAATTACAATGTAGTAATTTACACAAAGCACAAGATTTCCTTCATTTAGTAGCTAAATTTGAGTTTTATTTGACTGTCAAGGTCTAATCAGCAGTAATGATGGGTTGGTAATTGGTGTTTAAGTTATAAAGCTAGATCAGCTGGTATCTTTGTTTCCAGTACCATGCCCCTGTAAATGTAACCCTAAAGGCTCTTGTGTGATAAACAATTCTTACAGCACTATACCTACTTGAAGATTATACTCATATTTGAGGGCATTGTTGTTTATTGACTTGGCTGGTTTTTGTTTTACCTCCAAATTTCAAAATCAGCCCAAAGGTCTTAATTCAGAAAGGAGCATCTTGCTATAGTGAAACAGGCTTTGAGAGCAATTTGGATATTTAGAACCTTATAAATGTGATCTGGTAATTTACTTTTAATTATTTATTATAAGAACATAGAAATGCAGAAAAGTCTTAGATATATGTTTTATTTGACCTGAATGTTTTATACAACATTGTTTATACTAATAAAATATTGAAATTGATCTTAAATAATGAAAGGGAATGATATACTCATAAGATGTACATTAGAGGCCATTTAAAATAATGTCTTTGGGCCGGGCTCGGTGGCTCAGCCTGTAATCCCAACACTTTGGGAGGCCGAGGCGAGTGGATTGCCTGAGGCCGTGGTTTCAAGACCAGCCTGGGTAACTTGGTGAGACCTCATCTCTACAATAAAATAAAAAATAGCTGGGCGTGGTTGCACACGCCTGTAGTTCTGGCTACTCAGAAGGCTGAGGCGGAAGGATCGCTGGAGCCCAGCAGCAGGTTGATGCTGGGGTGGCCATGAGCATGTGTGCCATTGCACTCCAGCCTGGGTGAAGGAGTGAGACTCCAATTCAAAATAAAATAAAATAAAATAAAATAATATCTTTGTAAATAATACTTAATGATATGGGAAATGCTAATGATATGATAAATGACAAAAAATAGGACATAAAATGTTACATGCAGTATGATCCTAATTTTATTTTTTAAAACACATATATATATAGAAAAATCTGGTTATCTGTGGATGGTTGGATTATAGATGATATTTATTTCCTTTTTTACACTTCTTTATCAGTCCAACTTATATCATACATTATTAAAATAGGGAAAACATTAGAAAATGCTTTTTTAAAAAAAAGAAAAAAATTTAAAAAGAAATCCACTTGGCTCCCTTGTTTCTTTTGGTGCCATATTGAGTTGTTTATAAATGAGTACTACTTTAGAGGAGACAGACATTCTAGGCCAGGTGTGGTGGCTTACACCTGTAATCCCAGCACTTTGGTAGGCTGAGGTAGGAGAAATGCTTGAGGCCAGGAGTTCAAGACCAGCTTGGGCAACATAGTGAGACTTCCCCCATCTCTCCAAAATTTTTTTTTAAAAATTAGCCAGGCGTGGTGACATATACCTGTAGTCCCAGCTACTAGGAAGACTGAGGCAGGAGGACTGCTTGAGCCCAGGGAGTAGAGGCTGTAGTGAGCCAAGACTGGGCCCCTGCACGCCTGCCTGGGTGACAGTGAGACCCTGGCTTTTAAAAAAAAAGATTAATAAGATAGATAGATATTGATTCTACATGTCAGGATTATTTCTAGTCAGTTCTATTTAATCAGTTAGTCATCAGTGTCCTTCATGGCATTAAATTGCTAAATAAACTCGTAATGTATTAGACATAGATTTCATAATATTTGGGCATTGTCATTACTCTATAGACGTTTATATTTGGTACTTTTGTAAATATAATATACCCTTTAAAAAGACCCTTTTCAAAGCTGTTGTCTTAGTAGCCCTTCTAAATCTCCATGAGATAATAACTCATCTCTACCTAGCAGGTGAGAAAACAAATATGAAAAAATTATATGATTTGCTCAAGAATCAGTCACAGGGCCTGGATGACTCCTCCAGGGCTCCTAGACCTTAAGGGGAAAAGCAGTCAAAGAACTTGCAAATGAAAATCATTCCATACCATTTGTTGCCTGAAGGAGCTCTGGACTCAGCAAGTCACAGAAAGGAGACCTATCTGAGATTTAAGAATTGAAGATGATGCAAACTTCTTAATGGCTAAAATGTAATCTTATGAGTAGGCTTCTTTTGTCAAGACAAAGCTCAGTGCTGGAAGATCCTCTCCTGGCAGTCGCCTCTGCAGAAAAATGTGAAGCTAAATCTTGGGTCATGGGTTGAGGTGAAGTCGTCAGCCACACAGGGCATTTGGGCAGCTGATGTGGTTCAAGTTTGGTTAACTAGTTTAGAGACTCTGTGCTATTTATGGGGAGAATGCAGTGTGTCTGTGAATGATGTATGAAAGAGGTATTATAATTTAGATGTGTATGCTTTCACATCTTTATGTATTTTAAACCTGAACACAATTGGCCTTGTGCTGGAAGGCCAGTTGTCTTCTATTGTTCTCAGGTTCTAATTTTACTATTAAAATATTTGCATTTTGAAAAAAAGCACTCAATCCATAACAGTTTTTGCTCAATTCCTCCTCATTCCTTCTCTTTCCTCCTCCTCTCCCTCCCCCCAACTTGTAACAGCAATTTTGAAGTAAATGTATGTGGGTGGTTTCCATGGTACAAGACAACTTTCACAGAAAGAGGTCACTTCAGCCTGAGCTAATTGGGCATGGCGTGTTCCCCTGTTCTGGTGTGTAAACACAGATGCCCTAATATTGCAGGTATTTCAGCAGCAGCAGATCAGGCATGTTAGCGAAGGGAAACATTGAGGCTCATTGTTCTGAATGAAAAAAGCAGTTAGGGGAGGAGGATGGGCAACAGTAGCTCTAAGGGACAGGCTCATTGGAGTCATGCTCTCCCCAACTCCCTGAACTGTTCTGTGTTTCTGTTGACAGGACCAGGAAGAGCAAGCTTACTTTGCAGTGTTCGATGGCCACGGGGGAGTGGACGCTGCCATCTACGCCTCTGTTCACCTCCATGTGAACTTAGTGCGCCAGGAGATGTTCCCCCACGATCCTGCTGAGGCCCTGTGTCGGGCCTTCCGGGTCACTGATGAGCGCTTTGTGCAGAAAGCAGCCAGGGAGGTATGCCACTTTCTTTAGTCCAGCCGTGAACACACTAGCCAGGCTCAGCTTGGTCGGTCTGTCTACTTAGAGGGCTGTTTACATTTTCTCTTCCTGGGCAGACATTATCCAAACTGTATTCTCGACCCATAGTATGGGACTCTATGGTAGTTCTAATTCACTCTTCAGGAATAGTTTTGGTGGGGTACAGCGATGGACTGTAAGAAACTCTCAAACTCTGATTTTCCAGATTCATTTCTGTAATCATTGCTGGAGTTGGCAGGTGAGCTTTATCTTCTTTTTATTCACCATTGCCTGTCAGGTTCACACCAGGACCGTCTCTCTAAGCAGACTCTTGCTGACAAGATCTGGATATGGTGAATAAAACAATGGTCTAAAAAAGAAACAGAAACTGGGATTACTTCCATACATTTGGTTCTAAGTGGGTAGGCAGTGTTTTGCTGTGTATCTCTTGAGGGAAAATTTGCTTGGAGAGGGTGAATCCTTAGATGATCTTTGAACTGATTTTCTCTTTAACAGGAAGAAAAGTCAAAGCTCATGTCCTGTATTTCAGAGGTTAATCAGAGCTAAGTTTTTTAACTCTGAATGACAGCAGCTCTATATTAAGGTCTAAAAGTTAAAAAAAATTCATTATCATTCTGAGCATTGGTACATAATTAACTATAGTTTTCTATATTGGATTTTTAATTGGGGACCAATAGAAAGAAAATAATTTTTAATTTTTACTAGTAATTACAGAATTAGATGCACACAGAGAATAAGACTCCTGCCTTGTGACTTAAACATTAGCTCTTTTTATTTTATTTTTTTTGTTTGTTTGGTTTTTTTTGAGTTGGAGTCTCACTCTGTTGCCCAGACTGGAGTGCAGTGGCTGCTCCCAGCCACCGCAGCCTCAATTGCTAGGTTCCGGCGATCCTTCCACCTCAGCCTTCCAAGTAGCTGGAACTACAGGCGCGTGCTACCACGCCTGGCTAATTTTTGATTTATTGTAGAGATGAGGTCTAACCAAGTTGCCCAGGCAGGTCTTGAACCCGCGGGCTCAGGCAATCTACTCACCTCAGCCTCCCAAAGGCGTGGGATTACAGGCTGAGCCACCGAGCCCGGCTACATTAGCTCTTTTTAAACTGGACTTGGAGAGATCAGGGTAATCATTGAATCCATTTCTTTGATTTCACAGTCATGCTACAAAAGCAATAATGGGGCTTGGAATTAATGAAACAATAATTCAGAACCATTGGAAGTGTTAAACAAGAGAAATATTCTTTGTCTTCTCTCTCCTCCCCCAAGTTTGGATTAATATGCAAATCCAACACCAGTGACCAGTAGGGTCTACACAGAGAGCTGGGGCTGGAGAGTGCACATGTCTTGGCTTCAGACCTTCCCAGTATCTGGAGGACCAGCCTTCAGCTTGGCTGCCTCTCCTGAAGCCGCTGGCTCTCATCTTTCTGACTGGGAACAAGACCAGCCTCTGATAGGTGATCTGTGTCACCAGTGTATAAAACAAGGAGAATCACTTTGTCCTCTACATCCTCTTCTACATTCCTTTTCTTCTGTCTCCTCCAAATTATGGCTTTTTTCTGACCATGTTTACCTCATTTGTTTTGTCAGTGATCCTGGTGTCTCTCAGTTCTGCCAGTAGTTCCCTTGAGTAATTTAGGTTTGTCTCAGCAGCCACTTTCTCCTTCTTGTGCTTCCATGTGCTGCTAACTGCTGGGAAGTAGCTATTCCTGTTGTGAAGCAGCCCTGCCTCCTGTTCTCTCCAGGGCATATGCACTGAAGTGTCTTTATGTGTTCTAGGGGCTGAGTTTTTTAACATTCTGTGTGGGAAGACATTTTATTGGTGGGTGATGATTTATAACAAACTTTCCCTATATAGGGAAAAGGAGTTGTTTTTCTCCTTGGATGCAAGGGGCCTTCACCACCCCTGACGCATTGGTTCTAATTTAGGCCAGGTCCTTAGTAACAAAGTCATGCTCATTTGGTGGTGACTCATGTCAAATGGAGATGTCATTTTCGTACAGCAGGATCAAGCGCTGTAAGTACCGTGGTAGCTACTGTAGTGAAATTCCAGGCTGTTAGTTCTTTATGCAATGTTCCAAAAGCAAAGGCCCCTAAACGTATTATAGAGGGGCTATTTCTTTTCTTTTTTTTTTTTTTTTTTTTTTGAGTTGGAGTCTCACTCTGCCGCCCAGACTGTAGTGCAGTGGCCGTTCCCGGCCACCGCAGCCTCAACCTGCTGGGCTCTGGCGATCCTTCCGCCTCAGTCTTCCAATTAGCTGGAACTACAGGCGCGCGCTACTATGCCCGACTAATTTTTGATTTATTGTAGAGATGAGGTCTTGCCAAGTTGCCCAGGCGGGTCTCAAACCTGCGGGCTCAGGCAATCCACTCACCTCAGCCTCCCAAAGGCACGGGATTACAGGCTGAGCCAGTGAGCCCAACTGAGGGGCTATTTTTTAAAGGTATAAGCATCTTAGCATTCCAGGGAATGGATGCTATCTCTTGGCTCCATATCTTAATATCCAGAGATTGGGGGTATTTGTTGTATACCAATCAGATGCTTTATATATTTTGCACAGCTAGGACTCTCCCACTGAACACAGCAGGTCAGTAATGAAACAGAGATCAGAATATAGAAATTTTTAAAGATTGATAGAGTGGAGTTAGCATCAGTCTGGGAGAAAAAGAATTTCAGTTACATTTTATGTACTAATCTGTTACCTGCCTTTGGGCAAGTCACATAACCTGCCCAAAGTTTTCTTACCTGTATTTAAAATGAAATTAATAATCACCCCTGCCTTATCACAGATCAGGTGGATTTATGTGTGGATACACATAAATACATACATGCATATAAAATATGCATTGAGAAATAAGAATTTAGAAAATTGCATGAAGTCTAGCTCCTAGCTAAAAATTTTGTATTAATTATAAATTACTTATCAATGAGAATTTAGTGTCTGCTTATTTTCACTGACTCTAGTTTTGTTTACACTATTTTCAGAGCTTAAGATGCGGGACCACAGGAGTGGTGACTTTCATCAGAGGCAACATGCTACATGTGGCCTGGGTGGGTGATTCCCAGGTTATGCTTGTGAGAAAGGGCCAAGCTGTTGAACTGATGAAGCCACACAAACCAGATAGAGAGGTAAGTGTGGTCTGTTCTGTTAGAGCATATACTATAAAGGCAGGTTTCTAGTTATCAGGATTCACTTAATTATTATATTGCCATTATCTCAGCAGCTGTGCCCACCTCCCAGTGGAGAAATAGAGAACCTTCTCATGAGCTGATGAGTATTATATCTGTTGTTTACTGTTCAAGTGGAAGAATAAATCCTGAATCCTGTTATTTGCTTTTTTTTATTGCATTGCTGTTTAGGATGAAAAGCAGCGAATTGAAGCCCTTGGAGGTTGTGTAGTCTGGTTTGGTGCCTGGAGGGTGAATGGAAGTCTATCGGTCTCCAGAGCTATTGGTAGGAAATACACAACTGTCCTCTTCCTGCTCACTGTCCATATTAATTCTGATAAAGGGAATTGAGATGATGATTTATATTATAGGAATGCTTATTATTACTGCTTAGAATAACAACTGGATAATTCCTCTTTTAATTGATTTAATTGAACCTATTCATTTACATACTTAAATTCCATTTTTAAAAGAAATCACATCAAGAAATGCAGGATTTGCTAGTTTCTCTCTTTTTATTTTTTTAATGGAAACCTTTGTTAGTACACAAATCTGCTTAAAAATACAATGAGGGCTGGGCATGGAGGCTCATGTCTGTATCCCCACACTTTGGGAAGCTGAGGCGAGAGGATTGTCTGAGCCCAGGGGTTCATGACCAGCCTGGACAACTTGGTGAGACCTTGTTTATACAATAAATTAAAAAATTAGCCAGGCATGATGGCATGCGCTTGTAGTTCCATCTACTTGGAAGGCTGAGGCAGAAGGATCACCTGAGCCCAAGAGGTGGAGGCTGTAGTAGCCGTGAACATGCCACTGTACTCCAGCCTGGGGTCAGGGTAAGACTCAAAACAAACAAACAAACAAACCCCAGCAAACCACAGTGAACGCGGGTGTTGGGGCTCACGCCTGTATTCCTAGTACTTTGGGAGCCCAGATGGGAGGATTACTTGAGCCCAGGAGCTTGAGATCAGCCTAGGCAACATGTAAGACCTTGTCTCTACAAAAAAGTTAAAAAAAAAAATTAACTAGGTATGGTGGTGTGTGCCTATAGTCCCAGCTACTTGAGAGGCTGAGGCAGAAGGATCACCTGAACCTAGGAGGTCAAGGCTGTGGTGAGCTGTGTTCATGCCACTGCACTCCAGACTTGGTGACAGAGTAAGACCCTGACTCAAAAAAAAAAAAAAAAAAAAAGGCTGGGC